TCCAAACCAAACAACAGCCATAACTGGGAGTTCAGCTGTGTTCCTTGTAACAGTTTAACCTGGCTAGGCTTCTTGACTGTTTACATCCCCTCACAGGAGTATGGGGAGATTCACAAGACCCTTGCCTGAGAACGTGGGTATAGAGACACTCTTGTCACTTGTTAGAGGCAATGCTACTTTAATGGCCTCTTTGGGGAAGGGCTAGGTTATATAGGCCAGGGAAGACAAGGTAGGGTTCCATCTGTGTGGCTATGGGAAATCCCTCATTCCTGATGGTAATGACTCTTCAAGTGCTGCCTGTTGCAGGAGGAGAACCCACACCTTTGTAAGTAACCCCTCACCTATGCTTTGTAAGAAAGCCCACTAAAGTAATTTGCTCCCCAGAGTGAATGTTGGTGGAATCAGGCTTCTGTTTCTGGTTGGGACCTTAGGAGGAAAGAGATGGGTAGATACTTATATTTCCCCAAAGGAAGGAATTTTATCTATAGGCTCCAGTCCTTCTCAAGGGTCAGCTCCATGGGTATTTGACCTTCACTGCTGTGCTTGCATGGGGCTTAATGGTTCTCAACTGGTGGGTAACAACCCACCTGGGGGGTTGAACATTAGATATTCTGTTTATCATTTATTTACATTACGAGTCACAACACTAGCAAGATTACAGTTATGAAGTATCAATGAAATAATTTTATGGTTGGGGTCACTACACCATGACCCTGTGTAACAAACATGTATCGAAGGGTCCCAGAATTAGGAAGGTTGTGAACCCAGGGCTTTGGAGGCTAACACTTAACTGTCTGCTCTGCTGTCATCAAATTGACTTCACTAATGAGTTCATCTTTGAACTTGCATTTTATAAGGGAAATCTGATAGTACAAAGAGCCATGTGCTTGCACACAGGAAATAGAGAATGCAGGTCTCCCACAATTTTCCCTGGTCCTTAAAATGTAAAATGTTGGTGTTCTGAGAACATGGAATGTTCAGGACCCACCTGAGCAAATTCCAGAGGTCTGTGAAGTACACATGCTCCATTGAGACCTGAGGAAGAAAGACACAGCCAATGGCCATGATCTCCATTCAACCAGAACTAGCTTTGAGCCTAGTTAACAGAAACTAAGGATGTCTCCATGTACTTCCTTACTTGTGGTTACTTCCCAGAATTCGATAACTGGTGGCCTGAAAGTGAAGATGCAGAAGGAAAGGGCCTTCCAGGTCTCTGTCACACAGCACTATGCCAAAGGTCCTGTGCTGGCATGCAAAATGAGCACACATCAAGAAGTGAAATAGAGGGTGCTTTGTTCTGTGTCCCCACTGTTCCAGCATGAAAAGACACATGCTCATATATGAGGTGCAATGGTTTCACAGTGCAATACCACAGGTGAGTTTAAAACCTCATGAACTACATTGATAAAGACATGGCAAAACACATGAATTGTAAAGTGTGCAATGATAATTTAAACCATTTCTTTGTCCTTGCTTAGAATATTAAAAAATACATAAAAATACCATGACGGTCCCAAAGACATAATGCAGAAAACAGGACATAGATAATTTTGTACCACGCTGACAATTTTTCCTGACTTCATCTCTCACATTTGGGACTAGCAAATAACCATGCACCCAGCTCTGACTTCCAGCAACAGTTCACTCAGCTGTCTTCTGAAGCCAGTCTTATTGGACCCTTCCTCTCCTGGGCTCTTTTTGCTTTCTTGCTTTATCTGACCTGGCAGTTTATAGTCAGCCATTCCCTCTTTGAGGTCCCCATCTGTAGAGTCAATCAAGCCCAGAGGCTGAAGGTTTCCGGAAACCCTGCATGTGTACTAAGCATGCTCAGACCTCCTTCCCTTGATGTTAATCCTTTAATACAGCATAATACCTATTTGCATAGCATTTAATCTAGAGGTGAGACACAGGTCAGAGAGGGTAAGTGTTGGTTACATGCAAACACTATGCCATTTTACATATGGAATTAAGCCACCTGCAGATCCCCATAGCTGTGGAGGGACACCGGAATGCCACTCCAGGGACACTGAAAGATGACTTTGTGTCTTTCTCACTGCCACCCATCGGTTTTGAAACTGTCATCTTCCCTAAGTGTTCTGTCATGAAAGTCTAGGGGCCACTTAACAATTTTAGCAGCTTCGATAGGCCAGAATGCCTGAGGCTTTCATATAGTGAACATAAAGATTTAGACTCTCCAGGGCTAGGTCACGGGGCCGAGCAGCAGGCTCCAGAGAAGGCTGTTGGGTTAATCAGATGATTTAATGTTCCACCCCCTCAGGAAATCTGTCCACAACTCCGTAAACCTTCAAGAACTTCCTCTGTCTGAGTTCTTTGAGGCTAGCCCCACTCCACACCTGATTCCCCACGGCACTCCTTGTCATAACCCCACCATCTTTGATATCTGGTCAATTCTAATCTGTGCTTTATTTCTCCAACTGGATTCTGATTCACAGGCACAGTAGGCAGGGAAAAAGCGTAGTAAGGGAAGCAAGACATTCACATCAAGCTAAAAATGCAAGCAGTGTGCACAAATGCAGGAATTAAGAAAGAATATTTTAAAAAATGAACAAGAACAGACAATAACTATTCACAACATACTACATTTTACCATGTTAAATAAAGATGTGTGGCTGACTGCACTGTGACCCAAGCCCACTCCTGTTGGACTTCATGTTTCATAGTCTTTCTTGCCCAGTAGTTCTGCAGGAAGGAAACAGATGGCCTGCTTCCTTGACTGGACTCATCAGCTTGAGATTCATAGACTGCTCAGGAGAATGCTGTCGGTGAACTGTGATCCTAGGTTCCGAAAATAAGCAACTGTGCACCACAAGTCAGCAACGATGGGACCTGGGACCCTGTGCTCCCAGGTTAGAATATCCTTCCTGAGTGTTCCCATGACTCTGAGAATTCCTGTGTTGCCTTGTTGTGTAACAGACTCTTATGGTAACCCCTTACCACCACTCAACCAGTTCGGCTCTCTGAATAACCATTTAAATGGAATCCTACCAGATTTCCTTGTTTGAGCATTGCGATTATATAACACTGTCACAGCCAGTCTTGTAAACTGTTGTGTCACGAGACGTGAGACTTGTTTAATACTTTAACCGATTTTTGTTTCAGCACTTTCAGGCAAAGTGAAATCAGACAAAACAGTCTGAATAAAGAAAAGTAACCCTTTGTTGTTGTTATAGTTCATTTTTAGTATGTGTCTTTCTTTAGAAAGAATTTAAGAGCCGGGCGTTGGTGGCGCACGCCTTTAATCCCAGCACTTGGGAGGCAGAGGCAGGCGGATTTCTGAGTTCGAGGCCAGCCTGGTCTACAGAGTGAGTTCCAGGACAGCCAGGGCTACACAGAGAAACCCTGTCTCGAAAAACCAAAAAAAAAAAAAAAGAATTTAAGAAAAAACAAAGTTCAGAGTTATATGTAGGAGAAGTAAAACGTCCCAGGACTTCTCAGGGGCCTCTTGAATTCCCCTTGCTAACCTTATTACAGAGCTGTTCACAAGGCTTGGCCCCCCTATAAGACCTGGGCCGAGCCTGGCTTTTCTTCGCAGCCACCAGGGGGCTGTCTGGTTAAGAACTGTGTAGGAGAAGCTTTTCTCCAAACCAACCAAAACATCCCAAGGCAGCTTTGGAGCAAAGCCCAGGAACTTGCCTGCAAAACAACCCTCACTCTAGAGTTGGCAAGTTCTTGGTGAGGCTTCATTCCGGGTGAGGAATAAAACACGGATTTCTTGCAAAGAATTCAAAGGGAAACTGAGTCTGTTCTGGCCGCTGAGAAAGGCAACGTCCTAGCCCCAAAGCTGCTGTCTGCAGCAGCTTTCTCTCCTCAGTTCTGCGGAAAGCTTCAGATTCTCCACAGTTGCTAGTGCTGTGGTCAGAGGTGTGTTGGTCTTTCTCCCTTCCCCTTTCCTGTGGAATGCCCAAGTAACGCCAGGGGGAAAAAAACCTTATCACCCGTGGGAAATCTAGAAAACTCTTTAACATAATCTAGACATCATTCCCTCCGTTCAGATAGCCAAGCTCAGTATACCATACCGTGTTACACGGGTATTCTGAAGAAAAAGAACTTCAAGGTATTTTTTAACAGTGGTCATAAGAACATAATTGTATTCGTTCCTTAATCAAAGTAGTTTTGTCGCAACTTCCCACTGGCTGCGTGTTCTCTGAGCACTCTGCATTTTTCCGATAAAACCTACCTCCTAAGGCGCAGCAGGGAGCCGGCCTGGGTCATCTGGAGCAGCACACATTCGCCAGCTGTGTTTTCTCCCAACCTGAGTGCTTGACCTTCGGAACTTGAGGTATGGACATTTCAGCGCGGTATACTTGCAATGACAGAACCCTTCCAGGGTGGAGATAATTTTTGTCTTCCGGTTTTATATTTATATTTCTAGGACAAAGGCGAAATAATGAGGTGTCCCTTTAAATCCTACTTGTGGAACCAACCCGGAACACACTTAGTGAAGTGTGCGAGGGGGCACTTCTTATTTAGGGCAAGCAAGGCAATGTCCATTGGTGTGGGGGTCCAGAGCGGCCAGAGCCACAGGAGGATCTGAGCGCCCCGTGGTCCCACGCGCACCACAAGTGGTTTGGGGGCGGAAGGAGGAGCGCAGTGACACCTGTCGCGCCTGTAGGGCGACTCAGAGGGTTGTGCTCCTGGAGATCCCCTCTATCTCCTGTCATTTATACCCCCACCCCAACCCCAGTCACACTCCTGCCTTTTCAACTACAGGAATGATGGCTCAAATGGAACCTCCGCGCTCCTGCAGTTGGGTGGGTGGACACGCGGCCACCAGACCCGCAGCTACGTGACCCCGGAGAGGGTGGTGCACAAGGCGCCGTTACCACGAGGTTATAGCAGGGGACACTTGCACCTAGGCGGCAGGTGCGCAGGGCACCCGAGTGGCGGGTTGATCGGGCCGTGGTAGGGTGCACAGCCCGGAGGCCATTTCGTCGCTGCGACTCTGGAGGAGCCAGGGTGGCCTGAGCCTGCCGCGGCTGCTGTGAGAATCGGACGGGCTGGAGGACCAGAGGGGAAGAGCTGTCGGCGGTTCGCCTGCCGCCTTGGAGCTGGCACCCCAGTCCCGAGTAAGGCTGCGCGCTGGGTCCCCAGGAGGCGGGGACTCAGGCCCTGCACCTCGCTGCCGGCGCAGGTCGCTGCAGAGAGGTCGCCAGTGTCCGGGGACCCGCGCGGCGCCCCTCGGCGCCGGCGCTGGAGCAGAGTTGACAGGTCAAGGGAGTCGAGCTCGCCGGGGAGCCCGCGCCGCACGGGACCCCGTGGCGGAGGGGGCGGAGCAGGGAGGAGACTGCGGCTCGGCCGAGCACAGCGCAGCCTCGGGCGGGCGGGCGGCCGGCGTGACGCGGCGGGATTAACTTTGCATGGCTAATGCGAGCACCAGAGCGGAGGCCACTGGCTGCTCGGCCGCAGCTCGCCCGCAAGCCGCCTCGGGGCGCCACCGCCAGGCTCCAGCGCTCCGGTAACTTGGCGCGGCAGGGGGCGCAGGGTGGGCTGGGGGCTACGGTCCTGCGGGCCGGGAGCGGGTGGCCAGAGCCGCGCACTGTCCCTGCCACGGGCCTCTTCGCCCGGCTTCTCTCGGGCTCGGGCACCCCGTGCAGGGACCTGAAGCCAGAACCCAGCTAAGGACAAGCTCCTTGTGAAATGGAGTTTGGCATCCTGGGCGCCGAACCCAGTGGAAGTTTCCATGAGGAGGAAGTTGTAGGACATGGGGGTTCGGAAGAGGCTGACAGGCGCGGGGGTGGGCGATTTAAAGGGACTGTGGGTCTCGTGTCCCCCTCTTTTTGGCTCCTTCCCGGGAACTTCAAGCTTTGGAAAGGAGAAAGCTCCTGAATGTTAGCGCAGGTCAGTGTCAGACTGCCTCTCACCGGCTCCGCGGGCTCGCTCCCTCCAGAGTCTCTCTTTTCCTTCGCTTCTTTTGACGCAGCATCTTTTGGGGTCGTGCGTGTTGGTGATGATCCGGGTGGTGACAGCTGTGCGCCCCAAGACCAGGGAAGACGTCTTTGGAGGGTTTCTATGGCTAGGGTCAGTTGTCATTTTGGAGGAAGATTTCCCGTGACTACAGTGGGATTATTATTGGAGCTAATTCTTAAAGCCTATGGTTTGTTTTTAAGAGGGAGGGAGCGGGGTGTGCATACGTGGATGGCTTTGTTGTTGTTGTTGTTGTTGTTGTTGTTGTTGTTTTAATTAAAGGCTAACTGTATAATTTGCCCCAAGTGGGAAGTTTTTAAAGGTTATATTAAGCATTCCTATAGTGAGTCAAATAAAGTAAAGAATGAATACCTGGGCAGGCAAGTTCAATATTCCATTCTGCCCTTTGCAAGTACATGGCTGTGTCGAATCAGAAAATAACATTGCATAAATTCCTCCTCTTCGAGTGTGGTTGATCCTAGATACTAGAGATCGGTTTTAAAGACCCGTTTGAAACTGAGCAAATCAAACATTCTTTGTTCAATGCATGAAGAGGAGAACACAGCAATTTTGTTAATGATGGATGTATTAAGTACTAAAGACCCTTTGGGCAGTATCTTTATATGATTTGTCCCTGGTTTAGCATGTTTGCTGATACTATAATGAAATATTGCCTCACTGTGTTGCAAAGGAATAAACATTTCTTTTTGGTAAAGAAACGTTCCATGATTCATTCTGAATATTCTGGATGACTGATCTCCCTAATTCACTTCAGCTTGTTATTTCCCGTTCTGAAAGAAGTCATGTGCTGGGAACCATTAATGAAAAAGGTGTTTGAGTGGGAAGTATTTTAAACAGGGGCAGATATTAAAGCTCTTTCATGCTTATTGTCTGTGCTTCAATTAACCCAGGGAGAATTTAAGTAAAAAGTGTGTTTGCTTGAACCATTTTGTGAGAGATTGGTGAAGAGCAACTTACTGCTTTCCCATGTTAAAAAGATACTATTAGGATCCTATTTTTAAATGAATTCCAATTGTTTATTATATACTGGGAAAGGAAAATCGGCTTTACTTTGTGAGTAAAGGTAAATGATACTGAACTACTTCAGAGTTGCTATTTATTTAATGAAACTATTCTTGCTGGCATCACAATGCAAAAGCTTCATCTCATTGACATCGAGGTATTGCTATATAAAGTAACTGGCACTAGAAGGGGGATAACTATTCCACTTCTCCCCTTCCAGCTGCGTTGTGGTAAACGCTGCTGTAACAGGAGACTAGCTGCAACTTCCCTGTGACCCAGCACTTCTGGAAATAGATGATTAGTTAAACTCTTCCTAGGAAAGGAAAGCTGAGACCCTCTCCTGCCCTGCTTGTTTGTAGATGCTGGATCCATCCAGCAATGGATGCTTGGCAATACCAGCAAGCTTCTGCACTACTTGTGTAGTAAGCTCATCTTTTCCATGGAAATCAGTAGAGGTGACTGGCTTCTTTAGTCTCTTGCTCTTATGAAGGTGACATGCCACCTTCTTAGGCAGTAGGCAGTCTTTCTTCTTGCATTCTCTCTCAAAGATCCTCTGCTTTTTGTTCTGTTTTCCCCCTCAATGCTGGATATGGTCAGAACTGTTCTTTTGTTCTGATTTTTGTGAATTTCTTTTTAACACTGAATTCTGACTGTTCTAGATGACAGTGTGGTGTCCAGGAGTATAGCAGTGTTGATAGCTTAGTGTACCCTTGTTCTCCCAGCATCTGGAAGAATACTTAGTACCCCATAGGCACTAAGTAAATTTTGACTGAACAAATTAGAAAAACATAGTCCTGACCCCAATGCCTAAGTACTTCAATCGTTGCCATTTTGGACATGCCTAAAATCTGATAAGGTGTGAACACACACACACACACACACACACACACACACACACTGTCTCTCCTCTCTCTCTCTCTCTCTCTCCCTCCCCCCCTCTCTCTCACCCACACGCACACACACACACACACACACACACACACACACACACGGCGGGGGGGCAGGGAGGGTCTTTGCATCTCCCTCACTCTCTGTTGCTCTCCGTCTGATAACAGCTGATCTGCCTTTCTGTCTAGTTAGTTCTCCAAGTTCCTCCTCCCTGCCTTTGCCTTGGCTGTATAGAAATCCTCAACAGTGCTTCTGCCTTACACATCTCCAGTCCCTTCGATTCCTGAAGGTATTGACCTTTAGTTACCTGCGTTTAAGCTGGATCTTACTCATTCCAGAGGCATTGTCGGGCCGAGAGTAAAGCTCTAGACTGCTCATTACCTGCTGAACTCAGGGACTTCTCATACTTTGATGCCATAACAAGGCCCCTGGCTTTGGCAGCTCTGGGGGGACCAAGGACTGACAGTGACAATGTTTAGGCTACAAAATTGTTGGCTGGGGAGGGGGATATTAGGCTTATTGGATCTAACATAACCCAGTAAAGTTCTTGGTGATAGATTCAGAAATAACCTGCTCGTTACTGTATGCTGTTAGGTATCCAGCCTTTGCCTGGGTTTCCCCTTCCCCCACCCTTTTCCACTTTCATAAACATATTCTGATCCAGGTGATTGTGAAGAGTGTTCAGCTATCTGAATTTTCAAGTGAACAGAGTTTAGTACCTAAAGGGTCATTTTCAAATTATAATTCACAGCAATTTTTGACAATTCAGAACACAAGAAAATTGCAGCTGATAATCATGGTAATTTATTTTTATAGAAAACTAAGTTTTAGAAATGTGTCTGAGTAAATACATAATAAAAACCTGCAAAATGTAGCTGAAGAGATGGCTCAGCAATTAAGAGTGCTTGTTGTTCTCAGAAGACCTGAGTTTAGTTCATAGCACCCACGTCAGGCAACTCATCACTGCCCATAACTCTGTCTCTAGAGCATCTGATATCCTCTTCTGGACTTCTTAGGCATCTATACTTGGATACACATACCCTCATACATATGCATGTGTTGTAAAATAAATAATGAAAATAACCATTTAATTAAAAATCCTGTGAAATAATGGTAGTACTTTTAATAGTGGGAGGGAAGAAAAGATTGATGTTTTGGGAAATGAAGAAGATAATTGTACCAAAATCCAATGGGCTTACTGCTGTCATATATTTAATTTAGTGCTAGGTTTTTGTGGTAGCCAGTTTACCAGAAAAAGGGGGTAGGGTGGGAGGGTCTATCTGGCTTTGATATTCAGGAGAATGGATCAGATGCCATTTGCAGGATGTTTACCATGGTACCTGACAGAGTCACTAAGAATAAAGTAGACCTCTTTATGTGATCATATTTCTGAAAACTCTCAAGAGGAGAGAAATGAAGAGAACATGATGAGGAAAAGAATCCTAATGGAGATTTCTCTGTGGGGCTAAGCTGATATGGTGTAGTGGTCCAGGTTCTGGCATATGCCTCGATATTTAAACTGAGCTCAGATGAGTGGGATCAGTGGCTAATATGTCCACTAAGGTAACTATCTCAAGATCCAGTGTGTCACCCTGGCTTTTGTCTGAAGCAACTGGAGAGGACAGGACAGCTGGGGATTCGAACATGATCCTGTATTGGTAGAGTTCCTGAGCAGGGACCTCTAATGCTTTGTGCCTTGATCTTTGTATCTCTGTCTTTGAGAGTGATATTTCTGTTTCCTTCTCTGCCCCACTTCTAAATTGTGATGAGAGCCTGTGTGGTGGTTTGCCCATCCCTGATACAGAGTGCCTAGAAAGACCTTGGCACATGGGTACGGTTATTGGAAGATGACAGACTGGGGCAGGACAGCTTCTCTTTCTCTTCCATGTCAGTATAAAGCACCATCTTTCATCATGGCTTGGCTAAAAATGAATGTCTGGATTACATCAGGAGCCAGATCATGTGACTGTTTCTGTGATTAGGACGTGAGCTTATGTCAAAACTGGATAAGCAATGCATGGCAAGTTAGCCTGTTTGTTTGGAAGTCATTTTCATGCCTTGATTTGGTTTCTCAGCCTGCAGATACACATATGTCTACCATATACCTGGCCCTGTTACGTGATTTGAAATTCAGAGTATAGCCAGTGACAGGTGGAACGTTGTGCAAAAATTAAGCCCTGGTGTGCTGCAGGGTCCTCCACTGGTGAAATAGACAGGCCTGTTGGGGTTTCATCTAAGACCCTTGGCTGAG